GCAGGAATGATTCCAGAACATGCATAAATTATTCTTGACAGCCAGGAAGGTGTACTTCCTCCCAAGTCCTTTTGCCAGATTCTCAAACCACTGTCAACAGACTTCAGCTGCCAGCCTTTTGAGGCTCTGGGAGGAACATGCTAGGAAAATAATAAAAAAAAGATCAACATCATTGAGAAATTAATGATGAACGATGACTTGTTAACCAATTTGTTATCAGAAAAATGTTATTTTAAAGTCATAAATTAATGACTGATGTTTCTCTGATGTTTCTCTGATGTTTCTCTTGAGTATGATCACATATTCTTCAAAATATACCACATGCTAAACCTTGCTGAGTCACTATATCCAAGTATTCCATACTTTAGTGTGGGAAAAAAATTGTCAATTTTTCTTAAAATGTGAGGCTTGTAAAACTGAAAGCAAAATCTAAGCTCTCCAATTGAAATATTATCTGAAAATAGTATCATCAACAAGAATTACAAATAACAATAGCCTCCAAAATATAGCTAAATAAATATAAATATATTAACATTGAGCAAAAATTTATGTTGTAAATCCATATTAAGAGTTTCCATGCCTCATTCTTAAAATGAAAAAAATCAGTGTAAATAATTCAGAAAACAACAAAATTGACAGCTCCACTTAGTGATGCAAAAAAAGAAAAAACATTCCAAGCAGTAAAATATCATAGTTAAAACATAACTACTAACACTAATACTACTGAAATTCTTAGTTTTTTAAGTTACATAACAATGAGTATTATGTCACCATTTCACACAAATGTTTTCCAATGCCATAAATATTATGAGTCACATTATGTAATCATTAATGAATTAATGTGACACAGTGACACAGCTGAAGTCTGTGCCATCACACTTCAGACATTTAGTATTCAATTGCTGAAATTTTACACCACTGTTCTTTGTTCCAGATGCTTGTTTTGTGAAACTTCGAATAATATACATTTTTTGATTGATCGATTGATGTAAATATTGTCCTTTTGAGTAGAAAACGAGGCTTAATAATTAATGACTGTAACTAATTTGCAACGTTAAGTACTGAATCATCGAGCTCACGCAGTGAATTTACATACTTTTGGATTCTGAAATTTGTTGAGCATGAAATAAGCACCTGTGATTTGTATTTAAACATTTCTTTTAACCATTGAATAAAATCTGAGGGGTTTTACATGGCTGATCGACGAGTGATCTGCGTACTATAAACTACAAACTGGCTAGCTAGTATGTGAGAACTGAGATCACAAAAAAATAGAACTGAAGCAGTAAACAAATCTCTCACCAAAAACAAACAGTTACCTTTTTGATAAACTTTATTTTTTCCTGCGCGGACGTTTTATCATTGATGGTTCCCTGAAAAGTATACGAAAAAAGATCAGTTTAAGCAAACACCACATGAACAAGTATTATTATCATATCATTATCAGCGCTCAGCTGATCTTCATCTTTGATGGTCTAAAAGTTTCTCTAAAAATCATTTCTAAACTTGCTTACCTTGCGAAAGAAGATAACATAAGTGATGAATGCAACAAACACACTAGTCAACGACAGGTACAGAAACCATAAAAACGAAAACATCGCATCAAAGAAAGAGAGATTCCTTATCAGCGAGCTCCCCAACAAACGATGAGACCGTCTGAGGTTCTGATCGATTCTAATGGCACTGTGAGACTGATCATGAGCCCACGAACAATAGAATTCTTAGGTCAACTTCCGCTCCCTTCCGGTGGATCTGGTCTACAGCAATTCTTGCGTTCTAAATCATCAAACTCGTGATGGCCAAAGTGCGAAGTACGTTCATCATGAGATTTGAAGAAAGGGTCAAATAATGGACTGTTTGGGAGAATGAACTCGAGAAAATTATTATGAGCTCGAGAAAATTATCGAGTTTCAGAACGCCTGCGATTCTGGCGGGATGTTAATCGCGACTGGGCCGCGAATGACCTTACGCAGATGATCACAGAAGATGGAGATGGGGGTTAGAAGAAAGGACGAGGGGAGGGGGAGAGAGAGAGAGTAGTAAACTGCCTGCTTACGAAGCATCTATTTAATTAATGGACCTATGGTTAAGTTGCTAATTGAAGCTTCCCTTTTCCTTTGGACGTGTAACTGAGGGAATTTCCAATGAAACCACAACAAAAGTACGAGTTAAAGTACCGGAAACCACGCGGACTAAATAAATCGTGAATCCTTACAAAACTTTTCTAAGGATTTATGAGGGACAACAGGAGGTATATACAGTGCGTGCGGTCTCCATCTTGTCATCATTGGTGACCTTGATTTTCTTTCCCTGGCCCCGGCCCCGCCCTCGACTTCTTATTTATCTTACGAGGAAATTACGGTTAGATATAGTAACAATCAGTGTATTTTAGATGAAAATAAAGAAAGAATGTTTTCAAGACTTGCGAATAATTCTCATTTTGAATTAAGTACGCAATGTTGAGAAACATGCATATTCCGGTGAAATTTGGAAATCAAATGCCAGTATTGCTGGGCAAAATCCTAACACTTCACTAATATCAGACGTATACAGCTGAGAGGGAGGGAAACTGGAGATTTTCAATTCACATTTTCACATTTGAAACTTATTTCAATGGTCTGATAACTAGTATTAGTATAATTTCAGAGCTGAGCAAAGAGTTTCCAGCAATCTGATTGGTAGAGCGGTTCCTCATATGATGCTATATAAACCACTCCACGCGGTTTATATAAAATGTTAAAATAAAATGTTAATAAATGTTACTAAAATGTTATGATTTCAGAAATTTCTCTGCCGTTCAGCTCGGAAATTATACTAAAACAATTCGTCTCGGGGATTATTCGACCATATTCACCTGGCCTTCGGCGAATAATTGTTAAATATGAAGAATAGAAACATGTTAGGAAACAGTGCAGATCCAGCCGGTAATACCCCACAACTTAGCCTGTAAGCACCTCCTCATTATTAGCGATTCAGGACGTGCATTTCTCTGCCTACCAGACAATTTGATTTCGAATCAGGAAGAGGTTTGCTGGAGGTCTGGAACCAAAACCCCTTGCAAACCTCTTGCCAACTCACGTTGCTCAAAGCTTTATTTGTTCCCTTGGGGGAAAAAAAGGCACTTATACTGAGGGCCCGACCACACCCTACCATTGCCTGCGAGCTGGCAAATTATCTCTGAAAAGACTTTGAGTGTTAGGTTTCAAAAGTGCCTCCATGTTGATTCATTCTTCAATAAATCACACAAAGGAGTTTGCTCATTCATTTTCATTTATAATAATATAATTTTATTTAGTATCTCAATCAAAATAATTTTTATAAACATTTCTAACATGCAATTTGAATTAAGTAGCAATTTGACAGAATTAACATTAAAGATGAAAAGTTCTTCAGGTATGTATAAGCCAACATACTGTATATATTATTATTTTTTGGAAGTTCACAACTTTGTAAATCAGCAAAAAAACCTACCTTAAGTTGAACCCAAAATGACTACCCAAGAAAGAAACCAGAATGTGAGAAGAAATCACAAACTTTTTGTGTTTCTATATACAACAGACAAACATTTCTTGCCACACACTATTAAATGTTTCATTCTCTCCAGAGTCTCAGGTTTGAGACCTTTCTCAAAGTCTTGGAGTAAGTCATTCAATCTCTCTACAATGAATAGCAGTCTTTCAAATTCCAGCACTAATATCTTACGTGGAGAGTCTCTCGTGAAGCTTAACACCATCGCCAATCCTTCAAGGGCAAGAAGGGCCTGGAATTTAAAACCAAACACTTGTGGCAAATCTTGTGATGTATCACTCTCACATAAATAGCTCACACGCCTTATTGTACAGCTAGGCCGAGGTCTGTGAGAGCCAAATCTATGTGAGCATGCGCCAAAAAACTGTTGGCCTTTTTCCAGGTTATCCAGTTTTTTGCTAGTTTGTTGCATCTGGTCTGGTGACCTGGCCAAGCGACACATCACGGCATGGTGTTCGTATGATCTCAAGTGTTTTGTATTCACTGGTATCTCCACTTCACGCAGTGCCACGCCCTTCTCACAATCTTCACCATGGGAGGACCAGTCTTGCAGGCAATACCAACAGAATTCTTTATCACAGAGACCACAGTGCATGTGATTACATCCAGGACCTTTCTGTATTGGGTAATTGCAAAATGGGCAGTTCTTAACTTCTACACTTGTAATTAGCCTCTCTTCTTGGTTGTTTTTAACCATCTTGGCATACCTTTCATGCCTCTTTCTGAACACCTGTGCCTCCTTGCAGGTAGCTGGCCAATGAGCATCCTCCTGGCACTTGAAACACCATGTGGTACCACAGACGCATGCCACTGGCATAGGCTGGACACTACCACCATCCTCAGTACCACAGACCCTGGAGTCCCTTAGTATTGTTGCCTTGACAACCAACTTACACTGGTCTGTAGGACACCATTTCCACTCGGGGCTTATTTCCAGTAAGGTGTCCACCCTTTTTGCCATATGCCGTCCATACAGTGATGGTGTAAGAGACATTAAGGTGACATCATCAACTGTCGTGCTACACCCATGCCCTGGGCACCTCAGTTTTGCTTGGCCAAGATCAATCTGGGTCTTCAAGTGAGCCCTCCAGCAACTGTTACAGAATGTGTGCCCACAGGTGGTCAAAGTTGTGGTAGGGACATTATTATCTGAGGGAAAAAGAGGAAGAATATTCAGTCTTGTAATCATTTGTAACAATCACTCTACTTTTCAGTGCTTTAGTAACTTAACCCTTTCACTGCCAAGATCTGAATTGGAATTCTCCTTAGTGTGTCATACAATTCTTATAACTACATTAGTTTGAAGAATTAAGCATTGGATTAGCTACTGATCTGCTGGTTTATATTTTTCTTGATTCTCACTAATTGTCTGCCTGATATTGTATTGATATTGTAAGGAGAAATTCTGTCTTGGTCACTCATAGGAGTCAAAAGGGTTAACTCTACATGTAGGAGCTTACTTATTATATTGCATTTCCATATTAGGCAAATAGTGCTGGTGCTAGGTTATTTCCAATATTCATAATTGAGTAAAATTGCAGCCCAGGCAATACTAATGAGTGTTTTGTGGATACTTTGACTTTATCTGGTACTGGATCAACCTTTCAAGATTAATCAAAATCTTTGTGGATAGTCTTTAAAAAAATTTTTAATGTTTGAACTTAACTTGATAGATAATCACGCTGATTGGAAATGAATTTAAGAAAGAACTTTTTTCAGGAAGGATACATGTTTCTTATTCATTTGATGGAAAATGCACAAATGAAAAAACTATACTTAAGGTCTAAGAAAAATTTCTTTTCATTTGCCCTAAAAGAATTAAGACTGAAAGAATACCAAGCAGAAATTACAACTCTGACCTCGTTGCATTTCTCTAAATGCTCCATGGCTGAGCTTCACAAAACTAATAAATAAATCATTATTTCAGTTGTTATCAATAATTACTCTATGAGTTGCTTACCACTGCAGCTGATGAGTTCCATAAAACATATCCCGCACTCCATTTCAGTACTTAACACTGGTTTAGGGTTTTCTAGTTGGAATTCTTTTTTCTCAAAGGACATTCGTATCTCCTGACGTGCTTTCTGCAAAGTAAGAGCCTTCGACTTCCAACCAAGCAGATTTGCAAAGACATCAAAAGACAGTTTGGGTAGCCTGGGCTCTCCTGTGTCCACTTTATTGTTGATGTTTGAGCAGAAGCAGTTTCTAGCAGTGTACACAACATCCTCTAGAGTAAGGCCACAGACATCCTTTTTGATACTCATTGCCTTGATTTCAGAAATGAACTCTGTTAGCACTGATTCATGTACGCTTTCTTCACTGCAAATGACAGATGCAAACCAGTTTGGCAGCCTGTTACCATGCTGGAAAAGAACAAACACTTCTCCATTGATGTCCTGAGATGTTAGGGGTGTAACCTTGAGTGCAAATGTCCTTGGGACACTTTCTGCTTCAACATACTTTTCACCCCATATTTCCTCCAGAAGAACAGGATTAATTTCTTGTGGGAAAAGGAGAAGAGTGACATACTTATGGATGGCATCTGTTGCTGAAGGTAGTTGGTGTTGATTACCATCTCTGTTCGTAACTGAAGATGAATTGTTCAATTCTGAGGACAAGTTGGGATCAACTTGGGTGAATTGTCGAAAACGTTGTCGTCTTCCACCTCTCCCTCCTCTCCATCTGCCTCTTCCTCGCCCTCTGCCTCTCCCTCTTCCTCTGTGCATGCCACCTCTTACTGGTGCCTGCCAACCATCGTTCCAGCCCTGGTCATCCATGTCAGCATCATGATCCCAGCCATCGCTATTATATCCCAAGTCATCCATATCAGCAACAGGAACCCTGTCATCAATATTAGCAACTGGATCCCTGTCATTCATATCAGCAACAGGACCCCACTCGTCAATACTGGCAATATGACCCCCATCATCCTCACCAGCAACAGGACCACTGTCATCTATAGGAGGATCTTGACCCCACTCATCCATAGCAGGATCTTGACCCCACTCATCCATATTGACATCATAACCCCAGTCATACACAAAGGCATCGTAGGGGTAAGGATTAGAATTGCCATTATTATATGCAGATGCCTCTTCTATTTGAGTCAGAAGTTCTTGATGTGCACTGTACATATCATCTCCACTGTCCACATAAATGCACTCCTTTTTAGGTGAGGAAAGCCTTGTGTTTCCGATGGCATTTTTCATTTGCTGTGAAGTCCTAATCTTTCCAATGGGATTTGTTTTCTTTCCAAGGGATGTTCTCAAAAGTGAGTCAAAATAAATTGTGATAGATCTACCAAAGTTGTTTGAGTCACAGCGTTCACTGAGATCCTCCTCGATATAATGGAGAGATCGATCTTCTTCATGGACCTCCTCAAAGTCTTCCTCAATGTTCAAATCGAAACGAGAACTCTTCTTCCGAGTTCCAAACCGCGCCGTGGGCCTCTTTCTCTGTTTCTTGTTCTGCCATGGTCTAGAGGGACAGGGGTAACTCACCTCAAAACGTGTTCTCGCGTCTTCAACGTCAACGAGCAGATCTTTTGTTCGAGCCAATCTGCGCTTGGATTTTCGAGTTTTGCTGTCCTTTGAGCTGTATACTGACAAACAGTTGGGACGATCCTTTCTGTCATTAGTGAATCTTTCCACTAAAACAACCTCGTCCTTCTCGAATTCGGATGCGTTAGCCGTCTTGATAACTTCTGGAAGAAGCCAGCGATTTTGCTTGCCTAGCGAGTAGGTGATGACCTCTGTTTCGTCTTGGCTTCCTTCAGGGAAAGCTGTAGTGTGAGTAAGAAGACCCTCAGATCTTTTGGCTTGAGTTCGCGAACGTACAGTTCGTCCGTTGTTGACACCGAGTTTACCAAATTTCCAAACCATTTCTCCTTTTTTCTTGTAACATTCAACCGTTGTCTCTAAATGATGAATGTTTGGCAGAGTAAATCGAGCCCATTTTATAGTTCCAAAAATCCAGTAAATTTCACACAAGTAAATGCAACTGTGGTGCAATTCACCTCAAAATAGAAAATTTGATGAAAGCGAGTTTCCAATTGGCTGCTAGTTTATTATCCAATCAAAAGACTTGTACTATTAAGTAATGATTTATTTTTAGCTCCAAACTTTTTGTACAACACCAAAACCAAAATAATTTGCCTAGTCTCTAGAATACTCTTTAAAATGTTTAAGCACATTCCTGTTTTCCTTTGGTCGACTGGTTTACTAGCTACACCTACACGGTTCGGGAAAGCTGACGGAGATTACGAATAAAACATCCAAATAGCATGTGCAATGCCTTCATTTTTTTTATTCAGTCGAGGCTTCAGCTAGAGTCGAACCACTCTCTGAATTCATATTTTTATTTTCTGAAAAAGAAAAACTCGGAGTCGAACTTGAGTTCATCTGTTCAACTGTGCTTTGAAAATTTAAACAAATTGCTAACTTCCTTTATTTTTTTTTTATTTCTATTTATTCATTTTCTCCTTGATTGACTCATGCATGTATTTTTGTATGCATTCATTTATTTTTTCATGTTTACATATTTGTATGTTAAACTATCTTTCATTTTCTTCCAGTAGTTTCAAAATTAGCTAAGAGTATTACCATCAAATGTCACGCAACGTTGTTTTTGGAAGAATGTTACTAAAAATAGGATATTGTACTGGGATTAATATTAGTACGCATAAACTTATTGGACAATACATTTATTAGCCAATCACAGATGAGGTTATATGCACAAGACCGAATTACACCATCAAAGAGACTTCCTCCGCAATGGCTCCATTTATCGTCTATAAAAGAGAAATTTGTCACTTATTTATCAGGTTTGAGCTGTTCCCCTTAACTATAGAAGATAATAAATTTATAGACAACGGTTGAGAAAGAAGGGCATTCAGCCATGGAGGGGAAATGTGGAAAATTAGGCCGTAAAGGTAGAACTTTTCGCTCTCAGTTTTCCCAGATCAAAGGTGGAAGAGTAGAAGGACTTCTGATACACTCTTCAGGTGTCAGTTCGCTCCAGGACGAAGACCAAAGTGTAGAAGAAGTGATCACCTACTCACTGGGAAAACAGAATCGTTGGCTTCTGCCGGAAGTAATCAAGACTGGCTGTTTTAGTTCTGGAAACGATGAAGAACTTGTGTTGGTCGAGCGCTATGCAAACGCAAGCCACAGGAAACCTACTCGAGCAGACTGCATCTCTGTGTTCAATTCCAAAAATGGCACGTTGCGCAAACCTAGACGAAAGTTAGCACACACTAAAGATTTACTTCGAGACGACGAAAAGATCAAGTCTCGGTTTGAGGTGACGTACCCGAATCTCTCGGGATCGTGGTCGATACGTCCCAAGAAACCTTTTCGTCATCATGGAAAAAGGAAGAAAAATAATTATAACTATTCTTCCACCAGTGATTGCTTACTTGAAGATTATGATGACGAAGTGGTTGAAACCGACTTTGATAGTGAATTTGAGGAGGATTTTGGAGAGCAATTGGACAGATCTTCAAGCCTTGGTCTGGACATACTCATGAGGAACTCTTCATCAGTTCCACAAACACATTATGGCAAGGAAATGTCTTCTCTGAACAAAAATTGGAGAGACAAACAAATTGAACCTGAGCAGACAAAGAGGCATTTCCTTGTCAATGATGGTACAGAAATGCACCAAAGGCATTTAGAGTACTTGGAGGAAATCAAGGCAGGATCATCCCTTTTAGATTCCAGGGAAGAACAAATACAGTCAAACGAGAACATTCGAAATCCTGAAGTGGGCAAGAAAAGGCGTCGTAGAGCAAGAAACCCAGCTCTCTCTTCAGTGGCAGGTAGCAAAGTAGCCAATGAGTCTGTGCTGCAACTCAAAACTTGTTCTGATCCAGTTGAATGTCCAAATCCAGACATTGATGATGGCATTGTTCTTATGATGAGAAAGCATGAAATTATTCCAGAGACCCTTGCACAACAATGGCATCACATGTATAAGGAGGGTTCTAGTTACCCTAGAACTTTTTCTCTCAATTTAACATCGCTCATACCCTTGTCCACTGGCGATGAAGTCTTTGTTGCCTTCAGGGTACTTGGGGACCATGGGAGGTGCCACTCAGGTGAAATAAAAGCTGTTCTGAACATGGCTGTTTACAGAGATGGCATGGATGATTATAATAAAACTGTCAGTGATTTAATTTCCCAGATCAGTATGATGCAATCTGATCAGAAAATTTGGACCATACAAGAAATCACAGACCTGGCTATTAGTTTTCATTTAGAGCTGGCAAAGAACAAAACTGTAAAGGTGCACTGCAAAGAGCCAAGGAAACCAAGGCTGTCACTGGATGTTTTCCAAGATCTGTGTGGATGGACATCAAAGGCTTTCTCTTCTCATACAGCCAAATATCAAGTTAAGAAATGCCTCTCAGAGGTCACAGGCCACCCAGAAATGTCTACTGCAGCTATTCCTTTGGATAGCAATTTTGTGATGATGGAATTTTGTGGGATCTGTTTCCAAGAGGTGAAAGATAGAGGTAAGCTTTCAATTATACTTTACTGGCAAATATTCCTTGTATTGGAGGGACCAGTGTATGTTATTTAATTTTCAGTGGTGATGACAAAAATTTTTTTAAATAATTGTTTTCAAATAAATTATCATAAATTTCAGAACCTGATAATTATGGTCTATATTGTTTATTATTTGATTTTTGTTATCAATATTGTTTTGTTCACTTTGCTTTGCTTATATATTTCTGCATGCATAGTGTCTCTAATTGCCTTAATGTTTTAAAGGAGGGAAATGAAAAAAGAATTTTAAACAGGATGACCAAAAATTTAGAAATATTTCATTTAAGAGGTTGGAATGCTTTGAATACTTTTTAGAAATGCCACCTAGGTAACATTTTCTTCACGTCAGGGTTTTAAAGAGAGAGAGCTTCAAACTTTTTAAGACATTTCTCAGTCTTAAGAAAACAAGTTCGAACATAGTATACATCACTTGATTGATCAATTCATTGTTGCTCTATCAGGTTGTAGAGTGTGCATATGACTAGTCATGTTGTCATGTTGTAAGAGCAATAGAGCACATTTTCCATGCTCTATTGCTGTCACAAGGCCACCTGGGATGTTGGGAGAACACTTCGAAAGCGTATAAATCCCTTCAGTTGCCTTTGGCTCATGATTTATACATGTACATGTATGTTCTGTTGCCTAAATAGAGCTCAGCATTAATGTTTGCACTCATTGCTTCAACTTATCCAGCTAGAAGATATGATCAGGTCTTGAGCATCAAGAAAATGTTGTGTTTCAGAGCATGATGGCACCATTCCATTTCTCTTCTTGAATGCCTGTGGCCATAAGTTCTGTAACAGTTGCTGGAGAGCCCATTTGAAGACCCAGATTGATCTAGGCCAGATGAAACTGAGTTGCCCTGCACATGAGTGTAGCATAGAAGTTGATGATGTTACCTTAATGTCCCTTGCACCATCTCTGTTTGAACGGCACCTGGCAAAGAGGGTGAACACCATGCTGGAGATAAGCCCCAAGTGGAAATGGTGCCCAGCTGACCAGTGCAAGTTGGTTGTGAAGGGAACAACACTTCAGGACTCCTCCAAGATTCATTATGCAGAATATAGTGGTGGTGTCCAGCCTTTGCCAGTGGTATGTGTCTGTGGTACCATGTGGTGTTTCAAGTGCCAGGAAGATGCTCATTGGCCAGCTACCTGTGAGGAAGCTCAGGAGTTCAGGCAGAAAAATGCATCTTATGCTCGATTTGCAACAAGGAAGGAAAAGGAGTTGATTACCAGTGTACAAGTGAAGCGCTGTCCTTCCTGCTATTACCCTGTCGAAAAGGGTCTCGGTTGTAATCACATGACATGCATCTTATGTCGCAAAGAATTCTGCTGGTCTTGTTTGGGAGACTGGTCAGCATCTAATATTAATCACTCACAGTGTAGACTCATTCAACTAACTAAAATCCAGCTGATCACAAAATGCATAAACATTGTGTCTTATCAGCATATTGCAGTTACAAGCCGGGTTGCCAGGGCTTCAAGTTTGATATGTCAAATCCACAGAAAACTTGACAAGATAGAGCATGATCTTAACATTTATACAAAATGTTTTCCCTTGAGGCCAGAACTTAAAAAGAGAAGCCGTACAGAGCAGCGACTAAAGATGCTCTGTGAGAATAATGCTTTCCATCTTTTGAAAAAAGGTTTCAATTTTAAATTCCAAGCACATTTAGCTCTAGAGGGGCTGGCAATTAGGTTGTCATTTTCAAATGGTGCAGGTTGCAGCAAGAAACTTGCTTTGGAGTTTAGCAGGTTGCTTTTTATTGTAGAGAGAATGGAAAATATCCTACAAGACATAAATTGTTGTCTTGTTAGGAGAGAAAGTTTATCAAAACTGGGACATTTTATTAAGTTTGGTAAGAAGTGTATTCTTTCAATTGGCAGGAGAGTGAATGAGCATCAGTGAATTACGGTAACATTTTTTGAAATTATTGACAGCAGAGGTTGCTCAAAAAAATGGAAATTAATGTAGTGCAAGCAAATGACTAACCCCAGTATGTCATATTTTAATTTATGAGTCTATAAGTTAGTTTGTTCTTTCCAATTGTTGCCATAACCAATAATAATTTATTATCATCTTCTGAAATTAGACTTTATTTTATTTATTATTTTATTGAAACTGATAACGATTTACTAGAATTGGCGTTAAGTCCCTCAGGGGTAATCAGTGTGGAGCTTTTCAATGTAGTTCTAGAACACTTGTTAATACGAGTGTTAATTGTCACAAGATGAATTCAACCCTCATATTTCTCTCTTGGTTATGCCTGTGAAATGCGTGTTTTATTAATACCATATCCTCTTCTTGATATTTTCGTCAGTTCTCATTACCTGTCAGCTAGAAAAGGTATTAAGTGGTTGGGAGATTTGTCATACTGATTATTCCTGTAAGTTAAATGGTTACAATTTCTTAATGTTTGTTGATATATAGATCACAGGTTTTTTATATATATATATATATTAAAGTGCGGATCTGCTAATTTTCATTTGTCTGTTTGCTTTTTTTGGTTTTTTTGTTTTTGGCCTCTTTGGGCCGGTTATTTAAACTAAGTCTAGCCGTTGTTTAACAAAACTGCGTTCCAAGCCATCTTCAATTTAACCGAACCTTCAAACTGAACATTCATTTTTGTTAACCGTGTGGAGGGGGGCCAAAAGCTGCTAGTGGAAGGATATTAATTTTATTTAACTAAATCAACCCTTTTATAGAGAATCCATATGGCCCACTACTTGTGTAAAACCACAGTTTGGCTTAGACTTTGTGTAAATAACTGGCCCTTTGCTTCGTTCGATCTGCGCTGCGCCTCGTGAGTCCTCATCATTTTGACCACTTTGATGACGAACATCATTGTTGAAAGGCGTACAGACCACGCTAAACCACTGTCGATTTGTTAATCTTATAGAAGCGAAAAAAAAAAATTAGATTATCTATATATTAATCATATATGTTTGCAGCGAAGCGTACACCACTTAGTTTTTCAGTGGTCGAGATTTTGTGCCCTTTTTTCCCCTTTTTTCCACAGGCAATATTCCCCAGCTGGGCTTTTCGCGATCGCATTCAAATTTTCCTGCTTCAGTGATCATGAATTATTAATGACGTTCAGGCATTCTGTGCGATGAAATTGAGCGCCAAAATGAAGTGTAGAAAGATATGAGGGGTAATGCCCGCCGTAACTGTCTTTTCATTTTATGGCACTGTTTTCCTGTTTATTGTAGCACGTTTCATAATGAAATTTTCACTGTAGACGTCTCTTTTCCGTGAAAGGCATATTCCGCAGTTTTGCACAAGTACATTTTGTACAATTACATTAGCTACACCCTAAAGCGCTAACAAATACAGTTGTGACCAAATTAGAATTGCCACTCTCGTGGAATAGGGAGGCTTAATTTTTGCAGAATTTGGCTTCGTGAATTTGTCACAATTTAACTTCTTGAATTTCGCGAAATTAAACTCCCTGGGCTGCGTTGTCAGCGGTTTTACTTCAAATACAAGAAGGGGGCGGTCACTCAGCTTGGCGCGCGAACTGGAAGGTTAATAACTGTACGGCTGGACGTTTTTTTAGTTTTGGTTTTGCGAGATGTCTTTGAACGGTAACGCTGACAAGGTTGTTAGTCTTCTGAGAGAAGCAGCTAGTTTGCTCGGTGGAGTTCGAGAGTCTGACGACAAGGCTGTTTCAACTGCAGGAAGAGTTGTTACAGGGACTGAAACAGTGGTGACGAACTCTGTATCCAGTTCGAGTCCTGACCAAAACCGGGTGCTTGAAAATTTCAGGTCACTGTTTTCTGGCTACCGAACAACTAAACATACTATGGTCAGCGTTGATAACCGCTTCTCTCGCTTCGCAAACGAGGTCGATTACGCGTGGAAGTATCTCGCAAGCACATTTAAGACCCAATCTCATCGGAAAATTGCATAATCTAAGGTATCGCAGTCGTGGCTACCACTCTCTAAAAATCTTACTACATCATTGAGATGAACACGGAGACATTCCCCGACTTCTCACGCGGAGGCCATGTTTTATGCTGAGTGACCGCCCCCTTCTTGTATTTGAAGTAAAACCGCTGACAACGCAGCCCAGAGAGTTGAATTTCGCGAAATTCAAGAGATTCAATTGTGACAAATTCACGAAGCCGAATTCTGCAAAAATTAAGCCTCCCTATTCTACGAGAGTGGCAATTCTAAATTGGTCACAACTGTATTTGTTAGCGCTTTAAGGTGTAGTTAATGTAATTGTACAAAATGTACTTGTGCAAAACTGCGGAATATGCCTTTCACGGAAAAGAGACGTCTACAGTGAAATGAAACGTGCTTCAAGAATTGAATAACGTACTCTCGAACTTTCGATAAAGGTGAAAATTTTGATCCATGACCGAGAAGAAGGTTTTGGAGGTCTCTGAACGATGTCATTTCTTAAACTGACGAAGCGAGAATAAACAAAAATTTCAGACGTCGTCGTCCTTGAGCAACTTCACTGCTTAAGTTTCATTTTCCCGCTAAAAACGACGTCCTCGTTCCAGACCCTCCGCGATTACTTGACGTCGTCGACGTCCCTTTCGTCGTGGTTGCTTAAGCTCCCTAATCCCCGACTTCGCACGCGGAGGCGATGTTCTATGCTGAGTGACCGCCCCCTTCTTGTACTTGAAGTAAAACCGCTGACAACGCAGCCCAGAGAGTTGAATTTCGCGAAATTCAAGAGATTCAATTGTGACAAATTCACGAAGCCGAATTCTGCAAAAATTAAGCCTCCCTATTCTACGAGAGTGGCAATTCTAAATTGGTCACAACTGTATTTGTTAGCGCTTAAAGGTGTAGTTAATCTAATTGTACAAAACGTACTTGTGCAAAAGTGGGGAATATGCCTTTAACGGAAAAGAGACGTCTACAGTGAAATGAAACGTCCTACAATAAACAGGAAAACAGTGCCATAAAATGAAAAGACAGTTATGGTGGGGATTACGCCTCATAGAAAGGTTGACGAGTTTTCAAGGGTTATGTATTTAATACAAAACCTCGTTCCCAGGGCTCTTCCCTTTTTGAATATTTTGGCAGGCGCCAAAATGTTCAAAAAATGGAAAAGCCCTGGGAATGAGGTTGTTTAATACACAATATTTGTAGGCTTACTCTTGTTAGGATAGCAATAAATTATTTTCCGGGTTTTCGTGGTAAATTAATGGATAGGATGAGGAGCGTGTAGTAGAGAGGGAGAGAGGCCCTGGAAACTGACGTCTTAACGTGATATTCAATACATACTTGGTATCCACTCAGATTAGAATTTCCGAGTTTCAGTACTTCCGCCATGTTGCAAAATTTTCTCGAGTCAAGTTGAGCCAAAGGCTTCGTTTCGTTCCTCGCCTGTACCCAGACTCATTCCTTACCGCTAAAGTTGTTGCAACCTACGATGCCAGGTAACGTTGTCGCATTGTTGTCTATTATAATATAGCAGACAAGTCAACGTAACGAACTTGACGTGATATTTAGGTCGCTGCGCAGACTGAATGAGGAACTGAGTGGCCATATTGCGGCCTCCACTTGAGCTTCTAGCGGTATATCTTTTTAAAGTAAGTCAAGGGTGTTTGATACAATCTTAGTAGAAGCTAGAGTTTCCTAATTTTCGAACTAACTTTACACCGCCTATTTTTCTTCTTTTCATATTTGGCTCCTTCCAGCCTAAATTTGATGAAGTTTTGACGACAAAAGAATTTGCTTAAAAATTATTTAAGACCTTTAGTGTCCTGCCTTTCTGTGGGAAAGTATCTTGCTGGGTTCCCGATCATGGTGTAGTAACGCATAGCATTTACATTCAAATTGTCTGATTGTAACACACAATCTTCGCTGGACGATGTCTGATATCCTTTCTGTATTTCATTTTTACTTATTATCATTCACAGACAACGACGGTAGGGCATTTTAAGACTTGGGCTTTTTTACTGGAAGCCCAAGTAATTATATCAATTCTCACGGGTGTTACGAAAACGAAGACCCTCGAAAACGAAGACCTAAGACCTAAGACCCGGTCTTCGTTTTCGTACTACGAAAACGAAGACCCTGCGGTCAATAGAAAACCGTAGAAATTACAAGTTAAACACACATTAAACGGCAACAACGCTTAGACTACTAGTATAATACATTACACTTCACGCATTTCTTCCATTATTATACTGCCAGTACTACTGGCCCGTCTTATCTGTTCTGTTTCGCTATGCGAGCCAATTTGGTGTTGATATTCTGGAGGGTTTCCTCGGGTAAACTTACCACACATATCATTCTGGAACAGCAGGCAGAATAGACCCTTTCAAGGTTAACGCCGCCATTTTGGCGGAGGTGCAAAACTGCTAGGGCGAGCGCAAAATGTACAGTGAATGTATGGAAAAAGTCAGGAGATCGATGCTCGTTAATTTGAGGAAGGTTGACATTCTGCAACTTCTATAAATTACGAAGTAAAGATACCTAGCAAAAGATGTTGCCGATTAAATGTGAAGGGTTCAGGCTCGCTGAGAAGTGAGAAATCTTATTTTTAGTTTTTCATACAAATGCTTTTAAATTTTCCCGCAAAGGGCGGCTTGGTTTAGAGACAAATATATGGAAAATCAAAATCTTCATTCGCGGCTTTTTTCGCGAGAATTCATTTCTCAAATTTGATCGGTAAACTGGTAGGTCTGGTATCTTTAGTTTGTAATTCAGAGAAATTGCACGATGTCAGCCTTCCTCAAATTATCTAGCATCATTTTCTCGACTTTTCCCATACATTCACTGTACATTTTGCGTTCGCCCCAGCAGTTTTGCACCCCCGGCAAAATGGCGGCGTTAACCTTGAAGGGTCTATTCGCACGCTAGCCGCCTTTGATTTATAGTTTGCGTTGCGTGACAGAATAACAAGGAAGGAATAATAATTGGAAGAAAACGGTGAAGTGTTATGTATTATATTACTAGTCTAAGGGTTGTTGCTGTTTAATGTGCGTTTAACTTGTAATTTCTACGATTTTCTGTTTACAGGGTCTTTGTTTTCGAAACAAAGCTTTATTTTCGTACTACGAAAATGAAGACCGGGTCTTAGGTCTTAGGTCTTCGTTTTCGAGGGTCTTCGTAACACCCCAATTCTCACGCCACCATTCCGAAAGTGTTCTTTACATGACAGATAAGTTTTTCAAAGAAATATCTAAAGCAAAACTTGCCAACATTCAATGCATCTAGAACGCTTTGTAAACCAATGACGCTGGAAGATGTTGTCCTTGATTTTGGGAAACTTCATTGAGGTTACAGCTGTAAGCATTGATAATATAGGGACCTTAAGGTGGCTCGTACTGGTTTTCATCTTTTTGATGGTCTGTAACTTTGAAAGAATACAACAGATAGACTGACCAAGGCCAATTGAACACTTTTACGGGGTTGAATTATATGATAATTGGTTATCCAAAAATAGGTGTCATTTCGTCGCTAGCAGTTTCCATGGCAACGCTTTCATAGGCTTACTCAGACGCATTTTTTA